ACATTGTGGCAGCACATTACTTGAGAAAGCGACAGCAGGATCGTGAGCCGATATTTATTATATCATCCCGACTTCACTCGCGCAATTTGTTTCCGGTTTGCCGCACGCGCCTGTCACTCTTGTGTCTGATGATTTTCTCGGAATTTTAGAGAAATTGTTCTATTAATTATTGGTTTGTTGTCACCCCTAGGCAATGCCAGACCTGCCCCCCCCCCTCCCCCCACACACAACGCGTGGAATAAACTCACGGAATTGGAATCCACGTAACGGATGCAGTCCCGGTGTTGGTCGCAAGGTGTCGCAAGCTGTGCGGCGATGCGCCTGTTTTGGTGTTTTTTTTATTAGTTGGTATATTTTGTAAAGGAAATTAGCGATGGGAATATTGAACGGAGCGTGTGTTTTTTTTAATTCGAGCCGACTATGACCGACTCTCCAACCAAAGACCCCAAAGCGCCACGACTGACCGTGACGAGTCCTCGGCTGAGATCATCTCATGGCGTTATCGGAAACAGCGGTGCATTCATACACACATGCTACATATGTGTATATATACACATGCTACAGTGAGGGGAAAAAGTATTTGATCCCCTGCTGGTTTTGTACGTTTGCCCACTGACAAAGAAATGATCAGTTTATAATTTTAATGGTAGGTTTATTTGAACAGTGAGAGACAGAATAACAACGACAAAAAATCCAGAAAAACGCATGTCCAAAATGTTATAAATTGATTTGCATTTTAATTAGGGAAATAAGTATTTGACCCCCTCTCAATTAGAGAGATGTCTGGTTCCCAGGTGTCTTTTATACAGGTAACGAGCTGAGATTAGGGGCACACTCTTAAAGGGAGTGCTCCTAATCTCAGCTTGTTACCTGTATAAAAGACACCTGTCCACAGAAACAATCAATCAATCAGATTCCAAACTCCACCATGGCCAAGACCAAAGAGCTCTCCAAGGATGTCAGATACAAGATTGTAGACCTACACAAGGCTGGAATGGGCTACAAGACCATTGCCAAGAAGCTTGGTGAGAAGGTGACAACAGTTGGTGCGATTATTCGCAAATGAAAGAAACACAAAAGAACTGTCAATCTCCCTCGGCCTGGGGCTCCATGCAAGATCTCACCTCGTGGAGTTGTAATGATCATGAGAACGGTGAGGAATCAGCCCAGAACTACACGGAAGGATCTTGTCAATGATCTCAAGGCAGCTGGTACCATAAACACCAAGAAAACAATTGGTAACACACTACGCCGTGAAGGACTGAAATCCTGCAGCACCGGCAAGGTACCCCTGTTCAAGAACGCACATATACATGCCCGTCTGAAGTTTGCCAATGAACATCTGAATGATTTAGAGGACAACTGGGTGAAAGTGTTGTGGTCAGATGAGACCAAAATGGAGCTCTTTGGCATCAACTCAACTCGCCGTCTTTGGAGGAGGAGGAATGCTGCCTATGACCCCAAGAACACCATCCCCACCGTCAAACATGGAGGTGGAAACATTATGCTTTGGGGGGTTTTTCTGCTAAGGGGATAGGATAACTTCACTGCATCAAAGGGACGATGGACGGGGCCATGTACCGTCAAATCTTGGGTGAGAACCTTCTTCCCTCAGCCAGGGCATTGAAAATGGGTCGTGGATGGGCATTCCAGCATGACAATGACCCAAAACACACGGCCAAGGCAACAAAGGAGTGGCTCAAGAAGAAGCACATTAAGGTCCTGAAGTGACCTAGCCAGTCTCCAGACCTTAATCCCATAGAAAATCTGTGGAGGGAGCTGAAGGTTCGAGTTGCCAAACGTCAGCCTCGAAACCTTCATGACTTGGAGAAGATCTGCAAAGAGGAGTGGGACAAAATCCCTCCTGAGATGTGTGCAAACCTGGTGGCCAACTACAAGAAACGTCTGACTTCTGTGATTTCCAACAAGGGTTTTGCCACCAAGTGCTAAGTCATGTTTTGCAGAGGGGTCAAATACTTATTTCCCTCGTTAAAATGCAAATCAATTTATAACATTTTTGACATGCGTTTTTCTGGATTTTGTTGTTGTTATTCTGTCTCTCACTGTTCAAATAAACCTACCATTAAAATGATAGACTGATCATTTCTTTGTCGGTGGGCAAACGTACAAAATCAGCAGGGGATCAAATACTTTATTTCCCTCACTGTACATATGTATATATAAAAATATATCCAAAGTTTGCTAATTGGCTGACCTGGTAATGTTGTGCCATGAAGAAGGACCCTTGCCTGAAACGTCATTTTAAGGCCACGCAGTGTTGTTGACGAATGTTTGTGCAGCTTTTTTGTTGTTCATTTTGCTTGAGCACCACTCCCAACGCAGCAGCAGCTTCACCAAATAATTGGTTGCAGTCTTTCGTGTCCTCTTAGCAGGTCGATACACGAGCAAATATATAATACGTTGGCGGGGGCAGGGGGGTTGCGCACAACCACACCAACATTGAATAACTTAAGAGCGTGTAGCTAAACATTTGACAGTTTTTTTTGGTTGATTAGCCTGAGAATGATTTCATTGGATCTACAGATCAACATTAGGCAAAACTTCCACAAGCTCTCGTTGACTAGACCACGGTGGCCACCCGTATTGGTTTGACCCTCGACAGACTGGGAATTGGCATTTTGTGCTGTGGGGTGGCGGGAATTGATTTGTACCCAGACCTAATGGCATTGTGTTGAACTTCATCACAGCATACTGCAGAGTCTTCATGAGACCGATTGCTGCTGACTGAGAAAGATGGTTTGATTTTGTCTGTGGAAAAGATGTGAACTCTCGACAAGACAAAGACTGTCACCGCATCGCACGCTTTCAGATGCGCTTCTGTGGCCGTCTGGAATGTTCTTCCTTCCGATATAACTTTTTAATCACCTAGATTGAAAACGTATTTCTTTAGAACTGATTGGTTATCCTTCTCCCACACCTTTGATGAGCACGCTTAGCTACGTACGGTGCGAACGAAGTTAAACATTCGTACAGGTTATGATAAAAACAATTTTTTTAAATAAAAACTAGCAACTAAATTAACACTGCTTTGGTCGAAAGATCCTCGTTACATTTTCCCGATTTCCAATGGCCCGCGTGACATACAAGTGTTACTGAGTCCACTTATATGACGCGGAATTGGGCTTGAAGTATAATTGGGTTTTTTTAAAGTTAGTTTTAATATTGTGGGAGTCACGACCGGTGGTTGTTTAATTTTGTCCGCTGTGGGTTAAGGAGGCTCAGGATTTGCGGCATTGGGGTTTTGTCTCAAGCCGCTCAGTTCGCTTCAACGGCTCAACACGGAAAGGCACCACGCTGAGATAAGAGACCAACGGAGGAATGGAGAGCATGAGAATAATCTTTATTTTTAATATATGTTAGCACACTCAACATGTACCGTAATATTATATATTTAAAAAAAAATCACCCTCAATCCTTTCCCTCTGCAAATTAGATTGGGCTCGATTGGAAAGTAAGTGGTGACTGTTCTGGTCTTGTGCAATTTGGGCAAGTCTGGCCTGTGATCTCTTCTAACTTGCACGTACAGTGAGGGAAAAAAGTATTTGATCCCCTGCTGATTTTGTACGCTTGCCCACTGACAAAGAAATGATCAGTCTATGATTTTAATGGTAGGTTTATTTGAACAGTGAGAGACAGAATAACAACAAAAAAATCCAGAAAAACGCATGCCTCTGAAAGGGAGTGCTCCCAATCTCAGCTTGTTACCTGTATAAAAGACACCTGTCCACAGAAGCAATCAATCAGATTCCAAACTCTCCACCATGGCCAAGACCAAAGAGCTCTCCAAGGATGTCAGGGACAAGATTGTAGACCTACACAAGGCTGGAATGGGCTACAAGACCATTGCCTAGCAGCTCGGTGAGAAGGTGACAAGAGTTGGTGCGATTATTCGCAAATGGAAGAAACAAAAGAACTGGCAATCTCCCTCGGCCTGTGGCTCCATGCAAGATCTCACCTGGTGGAGTTGCAATGATAAGGAGAACAGTGAGGAATCAGCCCAGAAATACACGGGAGGATCTTGTCAATGATCTCAAGGCAGCTGGGACCATAGTCACCAAGAACACAATTGGTAACACACTACGCCGTGAAGGACTGAAATCCTGCAGTGCCCGCAAGGTCTCCGTGCTCAAGAAAGCACATATACATGCCCGTTTGAAGTTTGCCAATGAACATCTGAATGATTCAGAGGACAACTGGGTGAAAGTGTTGTGGTCAGATGAGACCAAAATGGAGCTCTTTGGCATCAACTCAACTCGCCGTCTTTGGAGGAGGAGGAATGCTGCCTATGACCCCAAGAACACCATCCCCACCGTCACACATGGAGGTGGAAACATTATGCTTTGGGGGTGTTTTTCTGCTAAGTGGACAGGACAACTTCACCGCATCAAAGGGCCATGTACCGTAAAATCTTGGGTGAGAACCTTCTTCCCTCAGCCAGGGCATTCAAAATGGGTCGTGGATGGGTATTCCAGCATGACAATGACCCAAAACACACGGCCAAGGCAACAAAGAGTGGCTCAAGAAGAAGCACATTAATGTCCTGAAGTGGCCTCGCCAGTCTCCAGACCTTAATCCCATAGAAAATCTGTGGAGGGAGCTGAAGGTTCGAGTTGCCCAACGTCAGCCTCGAAACCTTAATGACTTGGAGAAGATCTGCAAAGAGGAGTGGGACAAAATCCCTCCTGAGATGTGTGCAAACCTGGTAGCCAACTACAAGAAACGTCTGACCTCTGTGATTGCCAACAAGGGTTTTGCCACCAAGTGCTAAGTCATGTTTTGCAGATGGGTCAAATACTTATTTCCCTCATTAAAACGCAAATCAATTTATAACATTTTTGACATGCGTCTTTCTGGATTTTTTTGTTGTGATTCTGTCTCTCACTGTTCAAATAAACCTACCATTAAAATTATAGACTGATCATTTCTTTGTCAGTCGGCAAACGTACAAAATCAACAGGGGATCAAATACTTTTTTCCCTCACTGTACCTATGTTGAACTTCTTTCGCACCGTACGTAGACAACCGTGCGAATCGAAGCTTGCACCTGCACTGATGGAAAATGCCCCCTCGCTGAATTCTTCCTCCTCCCTCCCTGCTCAGTGTTAACGTGAGTCTGTGTGATGTGCTTTGGCTGCCTTTGTACAGTGTGTAATCCCAATAAGGGGATCACAGCGAACCCGTGGAGCTGTAAGTAACTTTGAGGCATTCGCAATGCACACTCCAAAAACAATGCATTTCGGCATCAAACACTTGCTCTCACGAGGGACCAAGACGTCCCTTACAAAGTCAGCTGGCATGTTTTTAAAATAAATAATAGGCCGAACAATTCTTTGTAAGAAATATAGTACAAGTTTTGAGCTGGAAATTGAATAATCTATTTATAAATCATCATCATCATGATCAGCCCGAGATATCGCCACGTCTCACAATGCGGCCGATGTCATAATTCACCAAGCGACTTGCACATGGATCAATTCCATCTCCTCGGTGGACGTCCTATCTGAGGTGGGGGGGGGGGGACGATAGCCCTCATGACCCCCCCCCCCCACCCCCCCGCTTGGATCCGCCAATGCACTGAACGGACAATATAATACCTGGTGGCCTTGGATACCTGTGTTTGTCACCATGGACAGCAGTGGCGAATTGAAGCAGCTTAACTCGAGGTGAAGCCATGGACTAAATACCCGAGCTGCCGGCAGTGTCCCGGAAAGAGGATTTCCGCGACCTGCCACGTGCCCGTCTCGCTCGCCTCGGGGGCGCAACTCGTCGGGGAATCGGAGAGTGGGATGAGCAACGTGAGAAGACGGAAGAAGATGTGCCTGATGATCATGTGTCTCATCCTGCGCAAGTTGTGCAGCAGCGCGCGTGCCTCCGTGAGCCCGCTGTCAGGTACCCCCTGCCCCCCCCCCCCCAACAGCACCACTCCCTTCTTTTAATTGGCTGCGCGTAGTGGCAAGATGTTATCTCCCTCGCCTGGTATGCAGGAGGTCGTGGGTTCGATCCCAGCGCTGACGCCTGCTGCTGTATATTTGGAGTTTGCGGTGCTACTCTCTCTCTCCCTCCTCGTGGTCGCGTGGATTTTTATCCGGGGGTCCTCCGGGTTTTCCCTCCACATTTAGGATGGACATCACGCGTTTGGAGTATTTGGCTGCAATATATTTCCACGTGATAAACCACTTGGCTTAGCTATCATTTGTGGCCAGGCCGCTTCTGATAGCAAAATAGTAATTCCTATGTCCTATAAAGAGCACCTCTGATTAACATGGTTGGCTACATACGGTGCGAAAGATGCTCAATATACACACATACACATACAAAAGCAGCTGTTAAGAGATTCTATTGTGAGTGACTTAGCCCTTCAATTGCTTTGTCTGAGTTGGTGAATTGGAGACTCACACCCGCCAACGCCTTCACGTGTTATATTTGGGGCAGTTGTTAAGTTCTACGTGTCGGTGGCTTGGAGTTTGTAGTCGCGGTCTCACGCAGGAGAGAAGAGAGTCTTTGATTTTTCCACTCGTGTATGAGGTGTCGGCATCAGGCGGCAGGCAGATTTGTGGGTATGCAGGAGGTCGTGGATTTGTGATCTGGCTGTCGACTGATGATGCCTGTTGTAATTTCTGTCGAAACGTCGTACCCCCTGGTGGCCAAAGCTACGAGTTAGCGACCATCATGTGGAATGTTTTCAGCAACAGTATAAGATAAATAAATAAAATATTTTTTCAAACGGAGCGCCCCCTACTGCGTTAAATGTTCGAGACCGTGAGCGTAACGATGTGATTAGGCAAGAGGAGCCGCGATGTATAAGAGCCTTGGTGCGACTGCGCTAGACAAATCAAATATTGGGGTCCCACCGGACCGATTGCCGCATCCCCTGAGCTGATAGTGTAGTGACTGTTACACCGCTTCATCCATCAGTGGCTGACCATGGCTGGCGATCATGATGATGATGATGGTCTGGGGGTGAAGAGGGACAAGACAGATGACCGCGAGCGACCGCGGTTGCTGCGACGGACGAACAGCAATGTGCTCAAAGCGTTCGAGTAAAAGAATGTGTTCGAGGTCGCGAGTTATTATTCCGCTATTCCTTGGTGGTAGATAATACAGCTACCACCTGCGCTTGGTGGTGGCGTGAAGTTGCGTAGCCTCGGTGTGCTGTTCAGCACCGCAAAGAGATAGGCAGGCTAAGCTTTCCACTCCTTCACGGGACATATTGCTTAAGCGCGTTTTATCTGATCACGTCCCGTCCGTCTGGTGGAGTGAGGCCAACTCTTTGCGGTCGGGACCGGAGCTTTTGTCACTCGGCGAGGAAATTAGGCAGCAAAGAAAGGGCCCCTTTTGTTGAATGAGCAGGAAGAAAAACAGTCAGCGCGCCGGGTAGAATGAGTGAGATTAGCTTCTCAAAATAACGTTGCGGAATTTTTACCAGAACCCTTGAAAACCCAGCCTTGCTTTGTCAAAACTCATCGCATGACATCTGAAAGATTATAATAAGATATTTTTTAAACTTACTTTTAAATGTGCGTTATTGTTGCTTCGCGCTGAACACAATCGCTGCTTTGATGCCACGTCCGAGTTACGGAAAGAGTTTGTGTTTCGATTATTGACAGCGTGTACATGAATAGCCCACGGTTCGTCACCTCCCCACGCCGTACAGGCAGTGAAGGTTATTTGACCATACTTCACCACATGCTGGTCAGTGCTGGTTAACGAAGGTGGTGGGAGTACAGAACGGCAGTCGAGTTTGCTATTCAAACACACGGGGGGAGGGGGGGGGGGGTCACCCATCTACGCACCATCTAGGCTCAACTCCTTCTTAGCTTCCGAGATCTGATGGGGTTCAGGTACGAACCAGGTGATGTTATCAGAAGCGTTCATTGAGCACGGAGTTATTTTGATCCCTACTACTCCGTGGTTGACGTCGACCGGAACGGCTCGGAACGCTGTTCGGGGAATGATTTTTGACTGACACTGACAACAACGATGAGTCTATGCGAAACATTTTTACATCGGATAATCGGAATATAGTTATGCAATATTATATATGATGATTATTATTATGGATAGGAATACTTTGTAATCCTGTGGCAGAACCTAATACCAACAAAGTTCTACTCCAAGCCAGGCATGGCTGCGTGTGAGAAGTTAAGGCCCTTTCAGCTCGACTTCCTTCGGCCCTTGCGGATGGTTTAGGAGTCAACATCAAATAAGTCACAAACATTGCTGCTTTCAGCCGTTCGGAAGGGTTGGGAGTGGATGGTGCGCTTGTTTTTTTTTAGCTGCAATTGTGGTTCGGTATCACTGGCGGGATCGCTCACCTTGGTTGCGCAAAGCAACACAATGCGCATCAATTTGTAAGAACCAGTTGAATGACTTCTCTGGTACGGGCAGGGATGCTGCCGTGTGTTGTAATGTTTGACACACTGGACCGGAAATCCAGAGGTCTCCATAAACACACAAAGCGTCTACATGAATCACTCGGCCTCGCGCATCATGCAATCACCATCAACAGTTCCTGAATATTGATTTAAAGCTTTCGTGACTGCAGTAATTCATATTCTTAGCTCTTTCGGAAAAGTCACGTTGAAGGGAAACAATAAAATAATAAAAAATCTATAAAACAATAAAAATTCTCACGACGTTTCGACCATAACACAAACACCTGATGACGACCGTTTGTGTTATGGTCGAAACGTCGTGAGAATTTTTATTGTTTTATATATTTTATTATTTTATTGTTTCCCTTCAACGTGACTTTACCGAAATAGCTAAGAATATAGTTCCTGAATAACTACATTGTTGGTCCCCCTTGTTTTAGGCCACTGTCGAATACAATTTGAGCAAATCTGACTTTGATTGACATGCAGCAGTGAGACAGAGACATCTGTAGACCGGTTTTGCCATGATCAGGGCTCATCATTGCTGTTTAGTCAAGAATGCTCACTGCCTCTGGGAACCATACACGCAGAGTCGCCATACCAACACGATGGGCCTTCATAGCTTGGCGAGTACCAACAACAACCATTGAATCTGTAAATGGCGAGCAAACGTTGCAAAAACTGAAAAAAATTTGGTGGAATTGTTTCATCATTTACAGATTGCATTAATCCAGAAGTCGCCGGTTCAATCTTCTCGCGAGGCAGTTGAAAACATTGACGTGTTTTTGTTAAAAAAAAAAAATCCCAGCCTCTTTCCACCCAGCAGTATACATTGGTTACACCACAATCGATTGGCAGGTCAGGTGTGGTGGGGAAAAGTGTGGGTGCTCCCACCTCTTCCAAGACATCAGGCCGGCGTAGAAGAGTTGGATTGGCCAAAAACAGCCGCCCAGCTCTAGCGGGGGACCTTCTGCCAGCAGCGGCATCAGCAAGAAATTGCAGGGCTGCCCCTGTGCCCCTATCTGGCATGAACAGCTGTAGGGGTCTATAAACTTGCAGGGCGTTTCTCCAGGCCCTGCCCTCCCCTCCCCTCCCTGACCTCCCTCCCCTCCCTGCCTCTCCTTGGGTTTGCAAGCGGCAGGCGCAGATTAAAATGCCGTCTTTCCAGTCGGTCGCACTAATTACTGCGCCTCGCCCATCTCGGCGAGGGCTCGATCGCCTCCCCCGCCAGCCTCTCAGGAAACTTCCTGTCACGTTTAAATGTCCCCCCCCCCCCAAACACGCGGGATTCATTATATCATCATCGGCAGCCATTTGAAAGAAAATGGAACACTTTCGAAGCCCTTAATTTTGTTTACAAGCACACCGGAGGAATAGTCAAAACAATCCGCCCCTGACTGACACGGAGCGGTGGAGACATTGACCCGGCACGGGATTGACAGCGCGTTGTAAAGATGACTAAAGCAATGTGTGCAGGCCCTGCAGGTGACACGTACATAGCGGAAGTGTCTCTCTTTATTCAATCTGTATCGGAGGCAAAGGTGCAGCCCTGCGATTGCTTGCTCAGGACATTGCGAGTGGAAGTGGCTTCTTTCCAGTCGGTTCTTCATTTCAAGGCCCTGGACACCGGCGGCCCCTGGTGGCCTTTAGTGCGGCCCCTGACGTGCGCCCCCCCCCCCCCCACTGACAATACACAACACGTGACAACACTCACCACCATCATGCTGCTGTCAAACCCCCAATGGTTTCAAATGTGTGGCGGCCCTCACACACACTGATGATGGTCTTATCGGCGAAAGTGCCCCTCCCTCTGAACATTAGTGACGGACACTGCGCCAGAGGGGGCCCTAGAAAAAGCCCTATCGAGGGTATTTGGGCCTTCCTCTTCCGCACTGCTCCGATGTCGTGGAAGAGATGGGTCTGTGCCGACGCTTGACCTCAGCACGCGCGACCAGTCCGACTCATTCATACAGCTGGGTGGACAACGCCCGGCCAGGAATTAAATAAAATGACCCCCTTTTTTTTGTTTTGTTCCCGCTGCACCTGGAGATCAAAATCGCGCCAGTGACCTCTGGATTGGACAGTCCGAGTGTACTCACCATTACTCCACACAGCGGCGTCCTAATAGGACATAATAACTGACAACATCGCTGTGCGGTGTGTGCCTGTGACCTTGTTTACAGGAGGCACATCTGCCACGACTAGAGATGAAACGACGGCTGTGAACAAAGCACTTCCACTTTCCTCCAGCGTCTCCATTCAGCACGAGGTGAGACGCGAGAGACGTCGACGCAAGGACTATGCGAGATGCCCCCCCCTCCCCCGACTTAAACCCTTCCATTGCTTCGCTGCATTTCTACAAAGTGCACTCATCCAGGCAAAGTAGGCAGCTGATGTGCGTGGTGTACAATGTCACCCCCCCCCCCCCTCTGGCATTGTATGAGTTAATGGTTGTTGCATTAAAGGCGGTACTTTGTAAACATTATTTTTCGTTTATTTAATGTCAACTTGATACTTTGACGCCACGTGTTTTGGGGCGGTGTGTTGGATGTGTGAGCTGCAGATTGTAGCCCTGCCGGGCGGCATCAGCCGTATAGCGAACGGCTCGCAATCGAAAGGTTGCGAGTTCAAATCCAGGTTGGGGTTTGACTCAGCCCATCGTCACTACGCCGTCGATTAAAATCGGTACCACTTTGTCGGGTACTCAATTATTGGTTGTCCTGTCGATATACTCGCGCCCCTGCCATACGAACATAGAATTTCCATGACAGGGCTGTAAACTAGGGATGAGCATCGGCTTGATGTTCGCTTGAGCAGGAAATCACTCTGACTCGTTTCACGTGTCTTATCGCACGCTGTTGAGCGTGTGTTTGTGACGGGCAGCGGTGATTGCGATGCGATGTATGACGAGACTGGGTCAGGGTGAGAACGTCTCCTGAGTGTCTTGCATCTGCCCAATCTCGCTGATGTTCTCGTTTCCACTACAGCAGCCCTGAAGAGCAACTCGGTGGAAAACCAGACGAAAAAAATCAGCCTCCTCCACACCGTGGTGGGTGTTTGCGGCGTCTCATCGGCTGCTCCTGAGGTTGGGAATTCTCTTCACCTCCCAGCTGTCTGCACTGACGATTCCCTGCCGTCTTTTCGCTCCACACTCACGACCGACCTCTGCCCTTCCATTGACTCGTTACACCCGGGCAATGCCTCCATAATATTGTTCACTTTTGGTGATGGCTTGGGGAGGCCTCACTCCAGCAGTAGATAAATCACGGTTAATGATGATGATGATGTGACATTTCCCCACTATTTTTACTTTCATCTCCATCCTCATCAATGCTCGTTCCGTTCCTGCTGTGGCAGGACGAGTTCGAGATGGCGTTGTCTCAATAGGGTGGCACAGTGGTTTTGTGCCTCACAGCAAGGAAGGACCTGGGTTCGAATCGCAACTCAGGTGTCTCTCTGTGTGGAGTCTGAATGTGTCCCCTTCTATTCTGCATGGGATCCCTCCGGGTTCTCCCGTTTCCTCCTATAGCAAATACAAACGTATAATGTAACTGGTATTGGCCCAAGTTACATGTTTTACTGGTATTTGCCAAGACAAATGACTCAATTATGTATGTATGTATGTTGAACTTCTTTCGCACCACACGTAGTCAACCGTGCACATTGGAGTTGCGGGGGAAGGACAACAAAGTAAACACGAAATGCAGTTCTAAAACAACGATTTCAAAGTCCATAGCTCCAGTGGCTTCCAGACGGCCGCAGATGCACATCTTAAGGAGTGCGATGCAGTGTCCGTCTTTGTTCGATGGTGAGCCGAAAGCCACTGCTGCGAGAGTGACCGGATTTTGCGTGACGATGGTTTATTCTCTTTGGTGAGAATTTTTTTTGGATTGCACACAGCAGCAGCAATATTGCCTCCTGCTGCGAAAATGTGACAGGACCCACGTGAAAATAAAGTATTGAGACTCAGTGAGGCTTTCATATACAGTATCTCTTACAGCTGTTCAATCCGCCCAATTCTTGCCTTTCTCTTCCTTTCAGATGTATTATTTCTAACATTTGGTCTGTCTTTGCTGTGTGCGCGCGTGTGTGTTTACCCTGTGCAATTACTTGAGATGCTTTTTTAGTAGGATATTCACGCTGTATTTATTGAAATGATTGTTCGTATTGTTGGGATGCTGTCGTGGTTGTAATGGTTTGGAGCGCTGATCGACCCTGTTGCAGTTGAAACAATGGGCACGTTTCCTAACTCCCCCAGCCCCCAGCCACTGCCACCCATAAGGTATTCGAATCAGGCCCCAACTCTGATCCACTCTATCTCTCTTGGCCTCTTTGTGTCCTGCGAAGAAGGGCAATTACCCTAAACGTCTCCAATTACATATATTTGTTTTGCTTTCAAGGCTACGCAGTGTTATTGACGAATGCGTTGAGTTGTCAGCAGTCTAAACATTCACCCAACAGTTCGTCGATCGGTAGATTGCGCGCGTTTCGGAATAGCGCTGTGGGTACTCTGATCTCTTCCAAGGCAATTGGCTTCTAGAGGGGCTCTCCAAAGCTCCCTGTAATTGATCATCGCGATCGGTATTTTTTGTTTTCATCGAGGCCCATGTTGTATATATAGGCTCATATACAACACCCTTCCGCCAGCAGTGGCGTGAGAATGTTTTTTCAGGACTTGCGCCTTTATTACATTTGTATTGCCAATTATGGGCGCGCGATGCGAGCACCTGAATCTGGCATTGCTCAACGTTTCACTTCATGTATGCATTCACGCGCTGTGGCGTGACAGAACGTGGGTGTGTGTGCGTGTCAAAACACAGGCAAACGTCCCCCGTATAACCTTGACAGACTTGTCGGGGCAAGTAATGTTAGCGAGTAGCATCTATGGAAGCCGGCACGGAACTCAAGCGGGTGGTTGGCCAGTGACACGCCCGGCCGCCTTTGTCTCCCCAGTGGCGATTTTTACGCACCGCACCAGGTACTCATTTGAGGCTGAGTCGACCGAGAGGAGGCCCAGGATCGGTTGAGATAATCGTCACCTGGTGTTGGTGGCCGTGAGCGGGAATCGAACTCTGGCGGGGCGGGTTCGTAGCACAGCGCGCTAACCACTGCGCCACCGCTCTTTGTGTGTGCGCATATGCGTGTACTCAAATACACGCGTGAGTAGCGGTTAGCGCGCTGCGCTAGGAACCTGTCGACCCGAGTTCGATTCCCGCTCAAGGCCAACACCAGTGACGATTCTTTGAACCGGTCCTGGACCTCCCCTAGGTCGCCTCAGCCTCAGATGAGTACACGGTGCGATGTGTGAACATCGCCAATGGGGAAACAAAGGCGGTCGAGCGTGGTGCTGGCCACCCACCCCCTCGTGTACCGTTCCGACTTTCATAGGTGCTCGCTGACAGCACTTGCCCCTACAGTCTATTGAGGCTATACGAGGGGGGAGGGATCTTTGTCTTTGTCCTCACGTAGGCACACTCAAACGAGTTCCCACTGCGTGGTTTGTGTGCACGTTGGGCAATAAACATCACGCGGAACACGCCCGCGCCACCTACACGTGTCGCGCACACACGAAAAGGCCCCCGCAATTGTCCCAACAGCGAGGTGCAGGAAGCCCAGGGCAGTGTCCTTTGCAGTGATCACATTTTCAGCGGCAACCGCTGGCTCCCGGCAAACTCTGCCCCACCCAATAACAAAAGACCACGAGCCACGGGGGTTGGTCGGTAACACCTGGGGTGGCAAATGCTGGCAGTGTCCCCCCCCCACCCACCACCGACCCCATAGGGCAGTAGCCACCATAGGCACAACAGCAGAGGCTATGTAGTATCCGTTTCACAGACACACTTAATATTGTAATTTTTGCAGATGGGTCACGTCGCATTAATTTTTAGCCAAAACAATATTCCGATGACAATGTTTGTTTTTGTAGCTACCGCGGTGACATCGCCATCGTAGAGAACTGTGATCACAGAGGTTTAATCCACCAGTAGAAAAAAGTCATTGGTGGTCAATCGCTACCCTCGCTCGTACCGATCATCTAGACTGTGGCGATGTCTCAACAGGGGTGGGGGTTTGCAAGGCCAATCTATTACGGGGCTATTTGCATGGATGAGCGAATCTCGCCCTTAACACCAGGCAGTGAAATCGGGCGAACTTTTATTTGCCTTGGCCAGCCAGCTGCGCTTGCCCAACCACACAAGACCATTCAGTTGCATGTTTGAGCAGCTACGCTCTCTCTCTTTCTCTGCGAACAGCTGGCTAGTGGTAATTATCGCAGCTGCCGCCGGTATCATCGCACCGTACGTAGCCAACCGCGAGGTAATCGGAGGGGTGTGCGAGAGACGTGGGAAGGCGTATTTAAGAAACGTGTAAACTTCGCTTTGAGTGCCACACCGAGAGATCGAATCGAACCGCGCGACCTCCGGATTGGTGGCCTAAAACAAGAGGGCCGACAATGCACTTCTTCAGGAACATGGTGATGGTTCGTGTTTTGTGTGTGTGTAGAATGTGTGTGTGTGTAGAATGTGTTTGTGTTTGTGTGGTCTGTCGCTCCGCACGAAGTTTCAGGTCTTCTCGGCCACGGTCATTCCCTCCCTTCTCTACGCTTGCGAAACGTGGACCCCCCTAATGGAACATCTTCGCCGGTTAGAAACATTTAGGCTAGCCTGCCTACGATCCATCCTGGGTTTAACCAGGCTGGATTGTGTGAGGAGCTCACAAATCCTTGAAAGATCTGGGCAAGGTCCCATCGGTGAGCTCCTCCGGCAGGCAAGGCGGCGTTGGCTGGGTCATGTAGCCCGCATGCCCAGCCACCGCATGCCGAAACAGCTTTTGTTCGGCCGGATCGAGGGGGCTAAACGGGCGTGGCACGGGCTAGAGAAGAGATTGAGTGATGTGGTATAGGAGGACGTGGAGCTGAGTGGATTTGCCGATGACTGGTACCAGCGGTGTCAAGATCGGCCTCTGTGGAGGAGGCTCGTGAAGGACGCTACTGGGCAGTTGGAGGCAGTCGCCCTCCAACAACAACGGAGGGCGGAGGAGCGACGCTCACAACAACGAGCGGAGCGCCGGGTGGCTAAAGCACAGCAGGTTGGCACAGTAGGGGGCACAGGTGGTGCATCAGCTAGTCATCTCAGTCATCTTAGTCAGTTGACCCGTGGCACTTGGGTCTGCCCTGTGACCTCCTGCCAGCGGGCGTTCGACACTTCACGTGGCCTCAAGGTGCACATGGCCTGGCACAAGCGTCGTGGTGACGTCACCGCCACTTAGTGGCGAATGGCGCTTGTTTTTGTTGTGTAGAATGCACGAGGTTGGGGGGGGGGGGGTGAAAATTTTTGTACGGTACATGTGTTTTTGGCGCGTTATTTGAGACCTCACGATTGCTGCAAGTCTCACCGTTTGCGAACTATTCATGCCACCAGGGCAGCATCCTGACCTCCCTGTGCACGGTCAGTTAATGACAGGACGGAGCTTCTCACCAGAGGCGTTGCAACAGTGACATCAAAAAACACGGCAGGCCAGAATATGGAAAAAACCCACAACCGGCACGGTGTTTTTTTTATTTAATGCCGCAGAGTAATTGCGGGGTTGGGTCGCGACGGACACTCTCAAGCGCTTGATGTAAGTGAGATGATTGTGGTGACTCCCACGGAGGCTATGGAGTGTGTAATTTTCTCCTGGGGAGTGCGGTAGTGGTGGTGATGGTGAGGCGGGGTGGGAGTTTCCCCGAGGCTCCCCTCTCTCTGGGGAGAGGGAGATAGTGATGAGGGTGATGATTACGCAGGAATGAGCGCGGGGAGGTGAACGAGGAAGAGAGGAGGGGGTGACAGGCGGGCGGGGTGGGGGGGCACCGCTGGGAAGATGGGAAGACTGGGCCCTGTTGTTAATAATCGCCGAGTAGCATCTGGAGCGCCTCTGTGTTGACGCAATGAAACAAACTTGCGCGGTGGCCAAGTGGGTTTTGTGTATTCAAACAAGGGAAGATTCCAAAAAACTACCCAATGAATATTGGCATTGCACGAATTAAACAGCCCGCAGTTTGTGGCGATATAACCCGATCTATTGGACCCTATATTAAACCACTGTAGACTGCGCTCCTTCAACGGTGGCAGTGACACGGGTCAGGCAGCTGCCGTGTCGACAGAGACATCTGTAGCACGGTTGGCTACGTACGGTGCAAAAGATGTCCAACATGCATACAGCATACACACAAAACTACACGAACGCTCCCCTTGACGCCGCCTCGTCGACACTGGCATTTCGCTCCTGAACATATTGCTGCCATGCGCTATAGTTGAAGCCACCCACGTTGCGCGACGCGTCTCGTTCCTACGTGAACAGCCGTTTGTATTTTGCACTGCGTAGGCTTCAGCGGTTGTGGCCGTGCAGCTCTGTGGCTGTGCAGGTCTATCGAACATCGTGCCGAGCAACGCGTGGCACGACCCGAATTATGAACGCATCGGAGAAGCCAAAGCTGAGCGATTCCCGGACGTGTATCCATTTTGATAGCTGTGGCCTTGCACATAGATGGGTGGGAAGCAGTTGCCCAGTGCAGCCGGACATCGCGTTTACCAAAGCGACCTTTCGCTGTTAAGTGTCAAGGGTGAGGCAGCTGCTGTCAACAGAGACATCTGTGTGGCTCCGCGCAAGCACAGCTAAAAGAGACATTGGGAAGGAACGCTCGTACTCATTGTGGCTTCTCTGGCCACGGTTCAATGCGGAGAGGGGGGCTGAATGTCATTGCCTGTTGAATTCGTACCCCAGCAGCTACACACGCAAGAGCTTGGGTACACAGAGGACCGCGGCAGCCTTCAGCCACTGCAAGGCAGCACAGTGAACGTGTGATTAATGCTATGCTTATGCACATTGGGCGGTGAGCGATAGTAAACAGCTCGTTTCCCGAATGCATCAGCTGTGTTAGTCTTATACAGCCGGGGGGTGGGTGGGTGAGGGGATCGTGGGGTTTCCTTGACCATACTTCACCACCACGCTGGCGAGTGCGGGTTGGTGAAGTCAGGGAGCGTAATCGTGGGAGCTTAGAAGTACAGCACAACAATGAAGTTTGCTGCACCGGCATTTGCTGCTCTCAGCGTAACACGTGGCCCTGCAGAAAAACCCTTGCGTGCAAAGTGGTCGCCTGTTCCAAGCATTGCCCAGGGATCAATCCTGCAACGTTCTTACCCTCCCCTCGTGGGCATCTGTGAAAAAAAAGAGCCATATAGCTCATCGGATTTCTCCAGTATGAATACATTTTCAGATTCTGATCGCTTCTTTAGAGTGTGGCGAGATTGGGCGCATTCTTGGTGATTTCGTCGTAGGCTGATCTTTCACTGACGCTGCGGAAAATCTGTAATTTAGTTGACGCCGGATGTTGAGTGATAAGTCAGTCGTGACTCCTGGCTCTCATTCGTGGACATACTTTAGCATTGTTTAAACAAACCTCTGATAGCTTCTGAGAATGTTTTTTTTTTTTCCGGCTGTAAGACGGCGTTGTTTGGAATGATGACCCGTACCTGTTAATCCCTTATCAGTGCCCTACCTTTTTACAGACCAATTCAAACCTTATTGGTCACCCCGTGCCCTAATAAATCATCCGACAAAGTCCCATCACAAGGGAGATACACAAACAAATATATATAAATATTTGTTTGCGCGTATGGACCTGAAAAAAAAATTCTCTGTACAAGAATACGGAGTAAGCCGTGATGGGTTGACAGCTATGATGGTCCGACGTTTCACTCCATGTGCTGGAAGCGTCTTTCGGAAGCTGAAATGAAAGATCCTGAAGAAAGTTCCCAGCACGTTGAGTGAAACGTCTGACATCGTGCCAAACGACACGCGGCACAAACCTTATGACACAATCGCATGAAGCCAGAGAGCCCAAACGCTCGGATCTCCTTTGCATGGTAATATGACGTCATTGATTTTCCCTGTGGAGTAACGATTTTTTTATGAAGTTTTTCGAACACCATAATGAACGTCGTCTGGGTACAAACAAATAGGGTTAGCAGCGGGTGGCAGCAAATACACAGCAGCTTTGCGTGCACATTTTAATCGAACGCACAACTTCAGAAATGCGTACTAACAAAAAGTGTCATCGTTTAGCAAGATAAGTTCGAGTCAGAGGACACGTGTAATTGTAAAATGAATCCTTGTTTAATTTTTTTTTAAACGAGGTGGCCAATCATGTTTCCCATTTCACTAAATTCAAACAGGTTTTTTTTGTTTACATTTCAACAAATGTCCCACTCCTCTTCAAACCACGGATCAGGGGGACACAATACACCACTTGTGTAAATAAACGGCCCGCTGCCAAGCTAGTTCTTATGGACAACAGATGTTGTTATCTTTACAGGAAGCTGGGCGTCTGCAAACAATGATCTCATGGGAGGTGGAGGAGGAGGAGGGAGGAGAGAGAAGTTTTTTTTGCCAGATGGGCGGCTTTCCCAGCTCCCCATTGGCTCGCAGATATCGTTCTCATGGCTTAAGCTCCACTCAACTGCCTGCACGGTTTGAATGAGTTTGCGAGCTGTGGAGGCGACTGTCGGCTGTTGCTAATGCTGTAGAGGACCTTGAGGACTTGGACATCTTAACGTTGACGTATCAACCAGGGTCACACCAAGATGGGTTAACAGCAGCCAGTAGATTCTTCTCAGTTACAATCAGTAAGTCGTTTTTGTCGGTGTTACTTGTGTTTGTCTTGTTTGTTTTTACTCCGAGCTTGTTTCTATAAATGAGGTTGTTTGAGATATTGTATTTTTTTTTGGTCTGCAAGGGCGTCCCGTATTTTGTATTGGGGTTCTCTTGCCGATAACATCTGGTGATGCAGCAGCATCATCTAACGAGCCCGACTCTGCTGATCGCACCGAGAAGCTCTGTCTTGCTTTGACGAATGCTATTTGATAATATTGGTCTGCAAGGTGTACAATGCTCACGGACTACAACATGTTTGTGGAAAGCGGAGTTTTTACTTTATTGTTGTTTCTGCCTTTCATTTTGGTGCCATTTTTAAAATTCATTTTTATTTTCTGAGAGTTTTCATTTGCTTGGGTAGTTGCTATAAAATATGATTTCGCCCTTCTACAATTACTGTACAGCGATGTGGGATGCAATTAATTATAAATGACTAAAGCTATGTTATTATTATTGCTCCATGGCAACAAGTAATGCCTTTGTGTTTGGTGTTACTTGTAACTGTATCACGAGCAATATTTATCAAGCGTTGGTCCGGAAAGCCAAGAGGCACGTGTCCAGATATTGCGTGTGTTTATTTAGGTGTATATGTGGAGACGCTGTTTATTTAGGTGTATAAGTGGAGACGCTGAGTAAAGTTCAGCTTCTGCAGGGTGATCCAGATGTCTTGTGACCCCACCCCCCCCCCCCCAATTACTTGAACCCTAACAATCATTTCTGCTTTAAAGAAACCTTCCTAAAAAAAAAGATACAATTTTAGAGAGTTAAATGGTGTGGTTGCCTCAACCACACCCTGTGGTTGCCTCAACCACAGGGTGATGTGATGCGCCTAGTGCAGTAATCACGGTTAGTTTCGGTGCATGCCGGCTTGCTCGCCACTATGTGTGGCATGCCTTTGCTCAGCGACACGGCGAGATCGCGAACTTATGTTCGTGCAGCGCTTCGTGTTGTTTATTTTGTCATTTAGCGTGAGCCGGGTCGCTTTTGCGAATGAGACGCCATATCGCGGCCTCACGAGCTCTCGCCCAATGGTTGAACAAAAAACAAAAACCAGATAAACTCTCACTTGAGAGCAGTGAGACGGAGGCAGAACTTTCTATTAAAGTGTAAACGCAACGGAGTCTGCAATCCCGCCGCATTGCATTTTTATTTGATTGCCAATAACCGCGCGATTTAATAACAATGCGTGGATCTTGCTTTACGGAGACGAGAGGCCGAAAGTTTCGGAAGAGCGATGGCAAAAAAAAAACAAATCTATTTAAAATAAACGCCGGCGTTCATGAACAATTCAACTCTTGCACGGTTGAAAAATAGGTCTCGAGAACATTTCAGCCAAAACATATATATTTTTTGTCAGTTTAACACGTAGGCTTTTCGCGACCAATATCATCAATAATAGAGATTTTTTTTGGGAGGTTAGGTCGCGTAAATATAAAAAAACGTGTGGTTAAAGCCCGCCAACTAGTAAACTAGTAAGGGTTGGCTGTGTCTGATGGTGGCGGGTTTTAACGTCACATTCATATATTTACGCGATCTAACCCAAAAAAACCTTCATCACGGAGAGATTTTTGCCATTGTTTTAAAGAGGCAAGTCCCAACACTGAAGGGGGTGGCGGGGAGGGTTATGAAGGGGACAGCCCCGTGATTAATTTGCATGCCACTGCCGCCACCCCTGCGCTGCTTGCTGCTACGCGTGGGGGGGGGGGGCTTGCCCTCAAGTTGCTCGCTGTGCTTTCTCCACCGCGCGAAATGTGACCTGCAGTTACGGTGGTGGTGGCGGGCAGGCGGGCGGAGCTTGTGTCATTGCTGCCCTGGAGACCCCCGGAGATTGATGATTGATGTATATCGGCATTCGTCGAGATGTCTCACCTTAAACAGAGTGGGCCGCGCGAAGGCTGCAAAAGTTTCCACTCGAAAATACAAAGTATTTCTCGATTGCCCGATGCGCAAATACGAAGGAGACGTTGCAGCGATACACTCCGATAACTCCTGACGCGGTCATCTCTGGCCTCACCACCTGAATGTGAAACTGCAGCTGTGGCTCCAGATGTGTATCGGCCATACGACAAGCGGACGACGGGGGCAGCCGTGCCGCTCAGACCGGGGCGCCACTGGGGACCACTCTCCCCAGCTGTGCCCCCGCCTGCTGGACTGGTGTCAGAGATTACAACAACTAAAAAAACAACTCGACTGGTGTCGTTAAATGAATACAAAAAACTCCGAAGCAATTGTCAGAGGACGGATTCCCACCGCCCAGTGGCTGAGTGACTAACGTCCGCTCAGGGGGAGCGCCAATCGGGCAAGGAGGGCCCCCCCCCCAATGTGGGATTTGTCACGCGCTGTCGCCAAAACGTCACTGCTCGAATTCAATTTTAAATAAAACGCGGAACGTAAAATGAAAGCGTTTTCATAACAAACAAAAACATTTTAACCGCGTTTTAAATAAGTTTCTTGCTCTTTGACACTGCTGTTGAAAACAAATCTCATGGTGGTTGTTAAGGCGGGCCCCCAACTCTTAGCTTTGGCCACCAGGGAGGAGGGGGGCAAGGCACCCCCCTGCCCCCACGTTCGTTACGCTCCTGCCACCGTCTAATCCTACCCCCTCCCTTATAAATCTATAAAGAACTCCTCTTATCCACGAACCTATTACCCATGAGATCTATAGGTTATGTGAATATGCCTACTATCTGCGCCCCCTGTTTCTATGTGTGTCCCCCCCACCCCCCATCCTGCACTGTCTTTCAGAATAACGTAACGTATGTTGTCTTCACCATTGTAGCTTGATCTAACCCAGTAGTAATTCGAAAGTGTGGCAAGGAGCCGAATCTGTGTTTTATTTTATCTTACTTATCCTGGAGGAATCTGATGAGCGATAATGGATTTTTTCTTCTTCACACATGTCCAGTAGGGGCGGGTCAGAACGTTGTCATTGTTTTAATACAAAAACACGATAGGAGTGTAAACCAGAGGTAAGTAAGTCACAAATAAAATATAAATAAAAGTGCCGACCGATGTTTTTTTTCAACACTAAGTGCAGGCTTGGGCAAGGCAGCGAAACATTAACAAAACAGTCCCAGGCCACACCAAGACAACAACACACAGTCCCTCAATGAAACTGCACACTGAAATTGAACTATCGATGCACTGGGGGACGGTAAGGATAGCATGCCATGTTACGCAATCAAGCTCAGTTCGATTTCTAGTCTGGAGGGCAGCAGTTGCGCTAACCACTGGGCCACCGCTCCACCTCGCCCAGCGCGGTTTAAAGTAAGATTTAAGAAACGTGCAAGTTGGGAGGGGCGCGTTGCATCCACGGTGTCCTCCCTGTGTCCGTGATCCGCTGGGCGGTGCCACCATCCACACCGGAAATCTTCACTTGGATAACTCGGAAATCCGAGGCTTAAGGTTGCCTTGGTAGCCACTGATCGGTGCCACGTAAATGAACTGCCCAACGCCGTCACTGGTTTGTGTCACTGCTATTGCCGTTAAACATCTCAAAACATATCATCGTCGTCACCATCATTATCGCGAGCCACGGTCAATCCACTGCTGTATGAGGATATCCCCAAGGCACCCACCCGCACCTCATCTCCCACGATGCAACTTCCACCTAGCACCTGTACACAAGCTGACTTCAACAGACCTACGCGTACAGCATACTGCATGTATGCAATCATTGTATGGGAGTAAAACAGCAATCGCAAAGTCCACAAACACGCAATCGACGTTCGAGAGTTATTTTGGCCAAAACGCATGCAGGGAACAAACTCATCGGGCTAAAGAAAGCATTAAATTAAGAAAGAGTGGTGAAAATCAGACTGCGCATCCTCAGGTTAACTTTGACGTGGACGGCAGATCATCAGACGGTGGACATCGATTAACGAAAACGGGACGAGAGCTGAAACGCGGTCAGAGTAGCAAGGAGGGGTGCCCCCTTGGAACCACGCTGAGCAAGAGAGGGGAGCACTTAGGCTCGAGAACGTACGCAAGTTAGACATCGCATTGATCATTTCAGAGGAACGAGTGGCCTTGGGCAGTACACGCACCTAGGAGGGATGATGGCCAGTGAGATCGGGACTAATCACGGAATGCCAATCGAAGGGAGGAACGAGCCCGAGGGGGCGTCCACTGTGGAGATGAAACCACGGGGGGGGGGGGGGGGGGGGGGGGCTCGGGTAGGAGTGAAGTGGAGTAGGGCATCAGGGGGCCCTGAGGCAACACTCGCGGCTTGGTGGAGGCCTTCATCCTGCAATGGGTAGCTCATAGATGATGATGATGATGATGATTGTGATCGAGCTTTGTACATCCCATCCAATCACAGTACGTATCTTCTTACTCTCTAATGGTGCCATTGGGGGAAGTACAGGAGGGTTGACGCAAGAGATTTACAGGGATTAACGGAGAATCTGCTTAGGTGCCAGACGCCATAGTTTTGTTTTTTTCTCCCCACAAATCTCTCTTCCTTCCTCTACCAAGGTGGGGAGAGAAGTATCAATCCATTCTCTTTGGTTCTATTCGGTAAAGTCACGTAGGTAAAAAAATAAAGCAACAAAAATCACGACGTTTCGGCCACAACACATGTGGCCTTCTGTTCCTTCACCTGAAGAAGGCCACTTGTGTTGTGGCCGAAACGTCGTGATTTTTGTTGTTTTATTTTTTTACCTACGTGACTTTACCGAATAGAACCAAAGAGTATGGATCCTTGCAGTCACGAAAGCTTCAAATCTAGAATATCAATCCATTGTCTGTAAGGTGGTTGTTATTTTCAATTGCAGCAGACAGAATGTGCTCCAGCGTGGCCACGGGAGCATGTCACGTGCAGTTGTAGCAGCAGCAGCAGCGAGCATTACATTTAACAAATTGTGACTTAATGTTATTTTTCTTGTCTTGTTCTTTTTTTTTAAACAGGCCAAAGAAAACGAAGCATTCGCTTGAAAAACGGAACTCCTCCAAGAGGGAGAAAGCTAAACAATGGGGAGGGGAAGTTCACTCCTAACACAAACCAACACAGAGTTGCAGCGGTGGTAAAGGTGCAGCCCCGCAATCACTTTCTGCTGACTGGTGGGCTTGCGGTAGAGGGAGCTGCAGAGAGTGCCTTTGATTTTTATATTCGGCCCGAGACGATTATCCGCACCGTACAAAACGCGCCGCTGGTATTTTACATCCTTCCGTCATGCCGGTGGAAGTTAGCCAACAGCCGAGGCGGGGATCCCTGGGAGATCGTCTGTCGCCAACGTCTTCCATCGTCCCCCTGCGCATTCTCAACAAGGGGCCCGAGTATTTCCGGGCGAACCGCCGGAGCTGCCAGGAGGGCGCCATGTCCGTTCGGGAGCGACTCGAAGCCGACCGACTCAAGTACGTCAAGAGCCCCGACGCCGCCCGGCCATCGTCCGTCGAGCTCGCGGCCGGCGGTGGCGGCGGCGGCGGCGGCGGCCTCATCGTCGGCGCGTCGAGAGGGCGTATCTGCTGCGGTGCCGGCAACCTGGACCTGGCGATGCTGAGCAGCGCCATCGGCAACCTGCACCAGATCCGGCGGGAGGACCTGTGCCGCAAGAGCGGGCGCAGGACGCTGCCGCCACCGCCTGACCCCAGGCTCGCGTTCCGGCGCCGGAGCGACGGCTTCGTCCGTGGCGGCTCGGAGAGAGACGCGGCCTGCGGCGGCAACGGCACGAGCGCCAGGAGCAACGCGGTGGCCTTCATCTGGAGGCTCTTTCAGGGTGTGGCGGGGGGCCGGGAGAGGCACGCCAGGCCGTCGGCCGGCAACGAGGAGGACGCGGGCCCCGAGTCGAAGGAGAATCTGGGAGACGTCACCGACGGGGCCGCGGAGGCCAACCCGAGACCGGCCCGGCGATCGGCGTCACGGGACGAGCCACATCCAGCCCAAAGGCCGTCTTCTCTCATTTTGCCGGGCGGCAAAACGGAGCCGGATTCGTTCTTCGACGAGTGCGGCCTCGACCGGGAAATCATCGCGAGCTTGCGCGTGGGGCCAGGTGGGGGCGGCTGCGGCGGCGACTGCGGCAGTGTCGGCGCCGGCGCCAGCAGCAGCGTCTCCTCCAGCGACCCCGACTTCGAGGGATTGTCGAAGCGGTGGCGCGACCACGACGGAGGGGAGAACGATGGAGGGGAGGACCCAGCGCCGGCGCGAGTCTCGGTCGTCGAGCGCAACGCGAGGATCATCAAGTGGCTCTACGGGTGCCAGCGCGCCAGTTGCTTTTGAAGAGGGACGATCGCTGAACGGCGGCGAGGGGCCGGGCGGCAGCGGACGTGCCGCGACATGTCCGGCTCGCTGGTCGGGGCGGGCGTTGAGGTGTAGGCGGCCGATACGTGAAAAGGTCGCAAGCTCGCACCTCCGATGTGCACGGTTGGCTCTGTACGGTTGTGAAAGAAGTTCAACGTACGTTTGTGGCCATCTCTAGAAACTGACAGTTATTCGCCACGCACAAATGTTCTCGTGTGTAAGTGGAGTTCCGTTGAGTGTCTCCGTGTATGAATGACCGTATGTTTTGGTCCGCTGGCCTATTGGTTTTCAAGACGAATATTACCCAGCAGCATTTGTTCAAGCGCAAGGAAAATCTGGACTCGTGTCGACCCTCCCGAATCTCATCGGTGTTACCGAGTGCAAAGAGGTTGTCCTGGACAAAAGAATGTCGCGCAAACTGCTTGAATACATGGTGAGATGCTTCGCAGTGCTTTAGAGAGGTAACCAAACGCACGCGAGGCTCCTTAGCCTCGCGTGCGGGGAAAGGTTAGGATTTGTGGACATCTGCAGAGCAAACGTTATGCGCCATAGTCGGCAGGGCAGTTATGCTGACGGTGGGATAAACGACGTCGCATCGTGCGTGCGGAGGGACGTTGAATGCATCACGTCGTGAGTTTTCCCAAGCAAAAGTAGAGCAGAGGCATTTTGTGCCCCTTCCAGGCTCGCGTGGCTACCGGCTGCTGAGAACTTACAACCAGGGCCTGGTTACGTTTGATGGGGAGGGGGGGGGGGGGGGGCGTGGGAGTTAAAATAAAACTAAATTGAGGGGAAGGCTCTCTCTGTTCATTCGCTTCGTTTCGACGCCGTCTGCTCCAACATGGTTGTTTTAGCTACGGCGTTTTCACGTATGACGTACAAACGAATTGTCAATCGAAAAATTCAGGTGAAGCAAATTTTATTTTGACTCGCGACTCGGTTAGTTAGTAAGAGCCATCGTGCTGCAATGGCTTTAATCGCAACAAAAAAAATGTACCTGTAAGATTTCATCACGGTGCTACAAGTGTCGCACTTCAACCGTTTTACAGCAGCCGGGGAACGGAACGCATCCGTGGAGAGGACGACCGCCGAGAGAGATGGAGCCGTGAGATCCATTTGTGTGAAGGTGCTGGGTGGACCGTTGTATTGCTGGATCATGATTAGAGGTGGGGGGAGGCCTTCATCCAGCAGTGGATTGACCAAGGTTGACAGTGATGATTTATATTTAGTTAACCCATCAGAATTCAAGGCGCCTCTGAGTGCAGCCCCGACTGTCCCTGCGTTAATCCGACCCTGCCTACATTAACGTCTGGGTTGTTTTGGTTTCCTGAAAATGACTGGGATTTAATAAAGTTACGTAATTGAAAGTTCGTCTTTGTTGCTGGCTGTCATGTCGTCTCGTTTCCTGTGTGCTCATGGTCCACGTTTAGAATCCAGGTTTGTTCGGTGGGGTCTAGCGTACAGCGAACTGAACGAGGGGGTATTTACTACAAATACATTTTAGTCTTGGAGTGCGGCGCATAAATAGACGACAGTTATTTATCCACGTAAATATGTAACTATTTCGTACTTTAATAAACAAAATGATAACTAAATACTGCGTTTTAAATGTATTACATTTCTAATACTTTTTTCGAGTGATCCTTTTTTCAATCCACTGCTGGATGAAAGTTTCCACATGCTGTTTCAGTCATGGGGGTTTTGTTTGACCATACTTCACCAAACTGAGGACCGGTTCAGATATTATTCACCGCCAGGATTTCCACCTTTTCCACCATGGACCAAAGCCGGATGGAGTTCTCAGCTGGCACTAGGTCTGTTATCCAGACATATGGACATCTGTGAAAATTACATCTGTGAAAAACAGCTTTGCAGCTCTTTGGATTCCTCCAGTATGCGTAAACATTCTGATTCTGATATCAAACCTGTACATTATCCTGTAAATAAAGTTCAACACAATTCCACAGGTTCGAATGAATTCCTGCCACCCGAACGCCGATGGCAATTCCCGGAGTGTCTGGGTCAAACGGGGACAGTCGGCAGCTCGAGCCTCACCGCTGACGTTCACCACGACCGGGAATCGAACCACTGCTGCCTGCGGTCGACGTCCCTCTCAGACGCAGTCTGTCCCTTGGCTGCCACTGTCATCATTCTTGGCCATCGTCCACACGAAACGAAGATTCCGCCCCCCTATAGCCTGAACAGACTGCTGGGGCGAGTGCTGTTAGCGAGTCGCACCTCTGAAGGTCGTTACGGCACACGACGGGGAGTGAGTGGCCAGCACCACGCCCGACCGCCTTTGTCTCCCCAGTGGCGATGTTTAAACATCGCACCAGGTACTCATTTGAGGCCGAGTCGACCGAGGGGAGGCCCAGGGATCGCTTCAGATAATCGTCACCGGTGGTGTTGGCAGCCGTGAGCGCACTCTCTGTAACACTTCCTGGAGAAGTCAGAGCCACGCTTTGCATATTTAAGTGAGCGGTTCTCTTTCCCAAATTTGCCAGCCCATCCCGTTTTCGGCCGACAATGAAACTCTCATTAAGTGACGAATGTCACGTGCGCCGGCTTGCTGTGGCTTGCCTGGTGCATCCATCTGAGTGATCAGACTGCAGGCTTCAGTGAGCCTCATTAAACGCAAGGCAAATGCCGTCTGACAGGTTTTATTCCTTCTTCCCCCCCCCCCCCCCCCCCCCCCCCCCCGGAGAAAGCGGGCCGACTCAAGTCAGGCCTCCCGAAATAAACTCCACTGCCCTGTAGAATACATCAGCAGCAGCAGCAGCAAGATGTGCTCTTCGTGTACGGAAACTGTATCAGGTAACATAACTCACGTGCTGTTGTGGATGGTAGTCTAGCGGACACTCTCCTCACCAAACGGGTGGAGACAGGTAGGGGTTCTGGTCCTTTATTTCCACCTTCTCCATCACACAGCTCCCTCCTTCATCCACAGCTCTCTCCTCTTCATCCATAGGTCGTTCTCTCTCCTTTACTCCTGCCCATGCCCCCTCTAATCCCCACGGTCCCCTCTCCCATTCCCTCCCACTCCCCTCATCCCTGTCTCCTCGTTATTAGCCACGAGTCCCCTCTGTTCACACCTCCGGGGGTAACTCCCGGTCGTCTCGGTGCAGGGATTGACATCGGCGTGTATGGGGTAGGGCATGCCGATGTTGTGTGGACCGCCATGGAGGACTTACAATTTTATCATCAAGAAGGCCTCCCTCCCCCCCCCCCCCCAAAGCCGCCTCCACCTCCCACGATTCCGCCATTGCGTGAATCCACCCAGCGGGTGGCACGCGAGCTGCTTTCATCGCTCCATCTCCCTGGTGGACGTACTCTCTGACAAGTGCCATATCCTGGGCTGCCACTCTGCCGCTATTCTACAAAGCATCGGCCATCATCGCTTATAGAAAAATGTGTCCTGCCCAATCCCTTTTTACTTTTCTGAACAGTTTGCATTAAAAATACTAAATTGTCTAAATCTACACGTAAAAATTAAACAGTTTTTTTAGGCCATCATCCAATTGAACTTCATTAAAAAAAATAGTATTCCCAGCAGTACTGTGCAAAGCAGGAAAGCTATGGACCTGTATCAACGTTTTGCATGTCATCAGCAGTGAGGGCCTTTCCACGCCAGACAGGAAGAGGTTGGGGTGGGGGTTACTTTGACCATACTTCACCGTGATGGCCAGTTGCGGGCTAACGACGATGGCGGGAGTGGTGGTGCTATAGAATTCAATTGACATCATTTTCAGTCGGCTTGGCTGTCGAATTGCTGTTGAACTGAGCCAGGATGCTCTAACGTCTGCTGGAAGCGGCAGCCAAAGTACCGGAGGAGAAAGGGGGATGGCGAATCCGCTCGTTCACAAAGAGGGCCTACGCTTCAGACTGCGTGAGGTGGAAGGTCAGCAGCTGGGGCTCACTGAGGCTGGGGCAGGTGCTCCCTTATGCCACCGAGAGCCCAACAATGATTTGACCCGCTGCCTGCCCCAACTCCCGTTGACGGGCAGATGGTCACCGCCACCCTGCATCCCCCCAGCCCAGTCCAGCCATTGTTGTTACAGGAGTGGCAGTGTTTGCGTGTCGCCACTGACACACTCTCAATCGAGGTGTTGAGTTGTTGTTGTTCTTTTATGGCTCGTATCCACACAGAGTTTGGAGGGTTTGTTTTGCTAAATGCTGGCCCACACACCCTGACGACATCAGTGGGTGGGTGCTGACTCACTGGGGGCCCGAAGTTTAAAAAAATAAATTGGGCTGGCCCTGCATTTCGATTAATTAAATTCTAGTGATATGCCAAACGAGATATAAACAGGAGCTATAGATGGAGTGAGCTAAGAGAAACGTAGACAATAAAGAGGTAGTGAGATTAGAGAAGAGCGATACATGCATAGATTAGAATGTGAAATAGTTTAATTTACGTTTAACACGTAGGCTATCTCGACCAATAAACATATTGATGATTACGCGATCTAACCCATACACATATTATATTTTATTTTTTACATTAATACGTTTGCAATGTTTGTTAAGATTTCAATTTGAGCTGACACTTGGATTACACATTTGAAAACCCTGGTCTGAATTATTGCTGCGAGTTTCATGAAGAAGCCAGTCGTGTAAACCAGGACCATGCTTCCTCATTGAATTGAATTGCTGAAGGACCGTGCTCTGAGTACTGTACGTTTTATCTTTCTCTCGGCGGTTTCTCTCCGTCGGTCTCCCAGGGATTAGTCACTTCGCGTGATCTATGGAAGGATGTTACTTGTCGTCAAACAGGTAAGCGCACGGCCATGAGCCATTGTTATAGACAATACAGGCGTCAGACAGGTGTCTAGACCCACCTGTTTGGGTCTGTGCCATTCACAGGTGATGTCACTTTGGCAAGTGTTTCGCTAAAAGCATTAATCAAAAACGTGGCGTTTGGTGCACCGCAAATGGTACGTTGTTTCATTGTGATACATTAAAATGCTCACTCACCTTCAAGTACTGTACCGAGTTTATACATTTATTTAAAATGGACCTCATTAGGCTGAGCAGGCATTAGCCTGGATAGTACATGGGTGGGCGACCACAATATGCACAAGAGAGGTGGCCGTGGGCGTTGTGAGCAATTGAAGGCGGTGCCCACCCCCACCCCCCACCAAAGACAAAGATCCACCGAATAGCCTTAACAGACTGCGGGGGCAAGTGCTGTTAGCCAGTACCTATGAATGTCGGAATGACACACGAGGGGGTGCGTGGCCAGCACCACGCCCGACCGCTTTTGTCTCCCCATTGTCGATGTTTACTACACACCACACCAGGTACTCATTCGAGGCGACCTAGGGGAGGCCCAGGATCGGTTCAAATAATTGCCACTGGTGTTGACCGCGAGCGGGAATCGAACTCGGGTCGCCAGATTCGTAGTGCAGTTCGCTAACCCCCCCCCCCCCCCCAATTCCACCTACGTTAACCCACGCCGACCAGCGTGGTGAAATATCGTCAAATAACCCTCTCGGCCCGCACAGCATGGGGGGGGGGGGGGGAATCCCTCATCAAGCAGTGGATTGACAAACGGGCTGTAACAAGTAGATGTTTAATTAGTAACTACCACCGACCGCCCCCATCCATCACCAATAAACAATCATCATCATCGAACACCAACATCATCAATCTCCCACGATCACACACACAACATCCATCGACACCCACAAATGCCATGGTGCAATAACTCGTCACCAAACATCCAGGCAGCATCCACACGAGCCATTCACTTTATGACCGGGGCTACCGCTTGCTGAGTAGCCTCAAGCTCCGTTGGCTGTGTGACCACACCAGACCGGACGCTCATGTGTTGCTGCCACCTGACGTGCCAATAACGCGAGTGGTACTGCATCATTTAGTTTCACTTTAGGCAATAAAGCGACGGCGTATTTTGTTCATGTTACCACGTTAATGAGGTTACGCTCGTCTATTAACTTCTTGAAAGGTAAAGGCGCGGCCTTGCAATCGCTAACGCCACTGCTGGAGGCAGGGCCTCCCCCGGAAGGATGTCTAGAGAGACTGCTGGGAGGGTACTTGGTCTGCTCTTACTCTTTCACGCAAGGCCAGAACACCTTGACGACGTAAGAGATTGGTGCCAGAAAGATGTGACACTGCTTGAGTATATTGGCACTACAAGACAGAGGAAAGTGGAAAGCAATGCCGACATGTGCAGTGGACACCTTACGGGCTATCTGCCCATGGATCGTGATGATAATGATGAGAAATTCCTGGAAGAGGTTAAAGCACCCACACTTTCCCAAATTACACGCGACCTGCCGATCATAAACTTAACTGCTTTGTGGTACCCACTTACACTGCTGTGTGGACCGAGGCAGTGGGGGCATTTTCAGAAACTTGCTCCTACCCTTTCAACTGCGGCACACGAGGAGATTGAATCAAACCCGCCGTACCCTCTAAATTGCAAGTCCAGCGTGCAACCGCATTAAAACTATCAATTCAACTTTTTTTTATTTTATTTCACCGGCTGTAAGGCCCCCTGAGCTATACAGTTCTTTTTCAGAGGCGACCTGGCCACAAATAACGGCTCAACCATGTGTGTTATCACGTGGACATTAATGGAGCCAAACACCCGATACACACATTTCGACATTTGGAGAGAAAAACCGGGAGACCCGGATAAAAATCCACGCAACCATGGAGGAGAGAGAACACGCCAACTCCGCATACTGCATACAGGCGTCTGAAATGAAGGGGACAAACATTACTCATTGTTTTTTTTCGGTAAAGTCACGTATGTAGAAATACAATAAAATTACATTAAAACAAAACAATCACGACGTTTCGATCACAACACAAGCGATCTTCATCAGGTGTCAAGAACAAATCATGGAAAGAACAAATCATGGAGGTAAATACAACAAAAAAGATGAGAGACGAGAATTTAACAAACCTAAAAAAAACATTACGTGAAGCACAACCAATCAGGCCAACAACACAGTTAGACACTTCCTGGCGGACCACGAATTTCAGAAGAGTGTTAAATTTCGCGTTCAACTTCTGGATTGCAACTTCTGGACACACATTGTTCTATCGGCAATCCGAACAAGCTTGTAAATATCGCAGGAGGCTTAAGGCAAATTGGGCGACTGCATCACGAGTGAGCGGGATAATTAGAGGCGGCGTTCTCTCCCTTTCTCCCCGTCCAGGCCTCGCGCTTGCACCTCGCTTTGGGGTCTTGGCCAAGAATGTGGCTACCCCCCCCCCCCTCTCACGCGGTAGTTTTCTCACGCGTGGCCAACCGAACGGGCGGCCCAAGAGTCAATTTAGCCGCGCTAATCCTGTAAATGCGCATCGCGCGCTCAGCGCTGCCCCCCTCCCCCCCACACAGCCGAGCCGCCCGCGACAGGCACGCCTGATCGTGCGTGCCCAACGGTGTAATCGTGAAAAAAATTGTCCCCCCGATTCACTTCTCGGGGGGGGGGGGGGGGTTGGGGGGGGGTTGCACGAACGGTGAACGTGCCGAGGCGCCCGGGCATGCTCCTCCGGCGGACGTTTAAAGATCCCGTTGGTTTGGTGACTTGAAAGTGAGAACTTACTAACGGTGATGTTGTTCGACGCGGAGAAGGCCGCGTGTGTCTGTGCCGACGTCACGGTCCAAATGGACCACGTTTTAAAAAATGAACATCAAATTACCTAATAGGGTAAAGCCCCAAGGCAACGTTGCTCCCTGCTGTGAAATTACTACAGACTGTGTAGCCTGTGAATCGACGATGGTCTGTGTTTTGGCACGTACGCCAAATGTGCAAACGGTTTGATTTGATAATTTTAATTATGTATGTTGAACTTCTTTCGCACCGTATGTAGCCAACCGTGCTAATCGGGGATGCGGGGGAAGGACAACAAACTAAACATCAAAAAGCAATTCGAAAGAAATTCGTTTTCGTGATCTTACCATAAAAGTTTGAATCTATTATTTTTTTGGAGGGTGGATTGTTGGACTTTTTTCCCCTTCATATTTTTCTTCTTGGGACAAGCGAGGAGTGTGGATGTAGGAAGGCATATTAGGTGTAACGTTTCACTTGCTAACAACAATAATTTAAATGTATATCGCGTCGCTATGCAATTGCATCTGAAGATGCTTTTACTAACAAGAAAAAGGAACTGCATTCCTTTAGAAAGGGTGTTGGGGGGGGGGGTCAGGGCAGAGACTTAGACCCAGACGTTATTATTTCAGCTGGTGAGGCCCCGGTGAACTAAGCAGCTCTGTTGCATAGACGACCACAGCCCAAGCAAGACCATCACATCGCAGGCGGTGGTGGCAGCTACAGGACACGGCACTGTGGGGACGTGCAAACTAGCCAGAGCAAAACACAACAGCAGCACCACATTATTTACGCGAAACCCACGCCAGGACTCACTTCAAGCAGGACAAACAGATCAATAAGGGTGGCGGGAGATCCTGTGTCAGGGCACGCGTGTAAATAAAGCGTATACACAGCCTCATTGTATTATGGAGCTTGGTTCTAGGGGACACGTGGGAGAGGGAGAGAGACAGCGGAGAGAGCATCACCGTGGCACAGTCCAGGTCGAAGTTACTGGGGACCAGGACCACCAACATCAGTGACAACAACAACGACGACAACGACGATGACGTGTCCCAGGGATATCCGGGGCAGCCAGGGCACCACCAATGAGTCCCAAGGGCACCGTCGGGGGCTTTGCCATGGGTGCTCAGTCAGACGTGGTGCTGGCACATTCGCAAACCACCCTCGCAATCCATCCTCGCAATCCCCTCTCACAATCCACATGTCATCACGTTCTCTTTAGAGAACTACCGTGCAAACGGAAAAAAATAATCGTTCATTCGGATTAACAGAAAATGTCTCCTGCGTATCGTTGTGGCTGTTGGGCTGATGCGTCATGGAACAAAAACATAGTTTTAGAATTTACGTGAAGAGACGGCTATGTGGCTTACGATGGAATTATATTATCTGCCTATGTATTTTGTCACAGCGCTAACAATAATGTTACAGTAGCTCTGTTGTGCGCTCAAGTACGGCTGAGTTAATCCACTGCTGGATGAAGGCCACCCCCTCCCCCCATGCCGTGGCGGTGAAGGGGGTCTTTTGACCATACTTCACCACACTGGTCAGTACGCGTCGGTGGAAGGAGAGTTTCAGATGTCACTCGCCACTGATGTCGCCCGTGACTGACATGAACAGATATAAAATTGGCATTGGTAGTTTACAAATGGCAGACATTGTATCAAACAAACACTTACGAAATCTAATATATCTATGCAAACATCGGTTTTAATAAAATATATGACAGCGAAAATTAGTATTTAGATATAGAACGTCATTATGGAAGGCAAGGGAGTGCAGTTGCTGGATTGCTGAGGTGCCCAGAGTGTCATTGTGAACGAGGTGGCCAGGTCGCTTCTGGAAAAGAACTGTGTAGCTCAGTGGGCCTTACCTGGTCAAATAAAACAAACTTTTAGTGTTACAGAGGTGAATGAGATATTTACACAGCAGGGGAATCCACATCTCACTGAGCATCGTTAGCATAACACCACCATTGCCAATTAACACCGTCTGTAAAAGAGGAAAGCCTGTATTTTGTTACGTATATTCTCCACCACGAAGCGAATTATTTTTTCGATCATCATGGGATCTCATATATCTCATAATAGGGTAATAGGGTTTACCCTATTCTTATATATATGATTATTTCGAGTTACGTATTGTAGGATTTTGTGTCAAACTCAGACGCACAGCGTAAGGGGAGGGAGCGTCTTTTCCTGAAAGTTCAGCGGTTTCGAAGCATTGCTTCAAGCGAGCCCGACTCGTGAGATACTGATTGTCGAAACCGGTCCACACTTTTGCTTGTCTTGAAGCAATGCTGCTGAAATGACACCCTCCCAGAAGGCCGTGTGGCTGATGGGTTGTGTTCTATATCTAAAAAAGGGGAAAAACACAATTATTATATTTTGGTACTGGCAAAGGAGGCCTGATGATAAACAATTAACTGTTTTTATTATACCAGGTAAGGCCCACTGAGCTTTGTAGCTGCTTTTCAGAAGCGACCTGGCCACCAATGATAGATCGACGAAGTGGCTTATCACGTGGAAATGTGTAGCAGTCAAATACCCTAAACCAGTAGTTATTTACCTGGGGTGCACGCATCCCCTGGAGGTGCGAGATGCCCTTTCTGGGGGTGCGAGACATGCCAATCTTTTTAAGAGGTAAAGCATCGAAACACTAATTACGCAAGGCCACGCAAGTACAACTCCTTTGTTTAATCGAACCCTGTGTAATTAACATATCTTTTTTTTACGATTTAAAACCAAACGGGTGCAAAGCTGCAGTAAAGGTGAAGCATCACACCTCTAAACGCACGTTTCTAAATGTGGAGGGGCAAACTGGAGCACCCGGAGAAACATCCACATCATCACGGGGAGAGAAGCATGCAAACTCCAAATATACAGGCGTCTGGGTCAGGATCGAACCCAGGGCCTCCTGCATAGCAGACGAGGGAGTTAACATCTCTCCACCGTGATGCGCCATCACCCAGTGGGATCGGCATTCGTGTGGAATTGTGTGGAGGTGGGCTGCGCAGAGCCTGGAGCGACTTTCTAAAGGTTTATATTTAACAACACACGAGGGTGATGTGGATTGCACGTACACAAGCTCTCTCAGCCTTACGCGTTATGCGAATCCACCAGTTGATTAAAACTACTGTATATTGTGGTAATTTTGTCTCAACATAGAAATACATTGGAAACTGGGGTTGTTTGATTATAATCAGTCGGTTTAACATTTTTTTCACGCAGATGTTGAGAACAGGCCCAAAGGCCCAACAAAAAATTAACAGCCGGCAACAAACAGCACAATCAAAGTTGGAAAAGGTAAGAGTGTAACACATGACAAAACATTTGTTGGGCAATAATGAGAGTGCCTAGCGATAGAAACGAATGTTGAATTCAATACCGTTCGTTAACATTCTTTGAACGTTCCAAGTTTTCTCAAAGGCCGACAGTGTTCAGTGCCGTCTGCAATCATAACGTGGTCATCGGCGGGTGATTCGGTCATAGGCGCTCTTTCCGCAATGATGTCACACTTACAATGTCCGCCTTGCGTGTATATCGTGGTCTTTGTACAGCCGGAATGCTGCGAGCGAAACACACTCGTGAAGCAACAAAGACTCCTTCACCTACTCATCTTTCTTTGCCACATGACGAGCCTTGGGAAAACACACAAGCCACGCGCATTATCGCGGGATGAGCTCAGGGTAAGCCGCAGGTTGACGCAAACACATCACACACCCACACAGAGTTTCTGCGCTCGCCCTGCGCGACGAGAGGTCTGTGGAACGGGTCATGTCTCGACTTGGCTGGTATGTGGGTTAGCGGGGTTTTCATTCTGTCTTGGTTTTCTCGGAATCGTCCTCTTCAACTGTCCCGGGATATCTGCGAGGAGTCTTCCTCGTTCAGAGGTGGCGACTGTGAATACTGGGGCGGTTCTGCGTTTGTTTCCGTCTCCTTGGGTCGATGCGCGACGCGTTACGGGCGCCACGGTGGCTAGGAGATGTTAACTACCTCGCCCGGTATACAGGAGGTCGTGGGTTCGATACCGATCCTGATGCCTGCTGTATATTTCGAGTTTGCGTGTCTCTCTCTCATCATCAACACGGTGGCTAGGAGATGTTAACTACCTCGCCTGGTATACAGGAGGTCGTGGGTTCGATACCGACCCTGACACCTGCTGTACATTTCGAGTTTGCGTATCTCTCATCATCACGGTGGCAAGGATATCTTAACTACCTCGCCTGGTATACAGGAGGTCGTGGGTTCGATACTGACCCTGCCGCCTGCTGTATATTTGGATTTTTCTCCGGGTCCTCCGGATTTTTCCCTCCACATTAATAATGAACATCATACGTGTAGAGTGTTTGGCTGCTGTAAAATTCCACATGACAAAACATTTAGTTGAGCCATCATCTGTGGCCAGGTCGCTTCTGAAAAATAACTAAATAGCTCAGTGGACTTTTACCTGCTAACATAAAAATAAAATAGTTTCATTTTATTTTATTATGTTTTTTAATTATTATTTTATTTCCATTCTACGTGAATTTACCGAAAGAACCCAGAAGATAAAATAGTTTAATTTTTAGTACGTACAGTGAGGGAAAAAAGTATTTGATCCCCTGCTGATTTTGTACGTTTGCCCACTGATAAAGAAATGATCAGTCTATAATTTTAATGGTAGGTTTATTTGAACAGTGAGAGAGAATAACAACAAAAAAATCCAGAAAAACTCACGGAAAAAAATGTTATGAATTGATTTGCATTTTAATGAGGGAAATAAGTATTTGACCCCTCTGCAAAACATGCCTTAGTACTTGGTGGCAAAACCCTTATTGGCAATCACAGAGGTCAGACGTTTCTTGTAGTTGGCCACCAGGTTTGCACACATCTCAGGAGGGATTTTGTCCCACTCCTCTTTGCAGATCTTCTCCAAGTCATGAAGGTTTCGAGGCTGACGTTTGGCAACTCGAACCTTCAGCTCCCTCCACAGATTTTCTATGGGATTAAGGTCTGGAGACTGGCTAGGCCACTCCAGGACCTTAATGTGCTTCTTCTTGAGCCACTCCTTTGTTGCCTTGGCCGTGTGTTTTGGGTCATTGTCATGCTGGAATGCCCATCCACGACCCATTTTCAATGCCCTGGCTGAGGGAAGAAGGTTCTCACCCAAGATTTGACGGTACATGGCCCCGTCCATCGTCCCTTTGATGCAGTGAAGTTGTCCTATCCCCTTAGCAGAAAAACACCCCCAAAGCATAATGTTTCCACCTCCATGTTTGACGGTGGGGATGGTGTTCTTGAGGTCATAGGCAGCATTCCTCCTCCTTCAAACACGGAGAGTTGAGTTGATGCCAAAGAGCTCCATTTTGGTCTCATCTGACCACAACACTTTCACCCAGGTGTCCTCTGAATCATTCAGATGTTAATTGGCAAACTTTAGACGGACATGTATATGTGCTTTCTTGCGGGCGCTACAGGATTTCAGTCCTTCACGGCGTAGTGTGTCACCAATTGTTTTCTTGGTGACTATGGTCCCAGCTGCCTTGAGATCATTGACAAGATCCTCCCGTGTAGTTCTGGGCTGATTCCTCACCCTTCTCATGATCATTGCAACTCCACGAGGTGAGATCTTGCATGGAGCCCCAGGCCAAGGGAAATTGACAGTTCTTTTGTGTTTCTTCCATTTGCGAATAATCGCACCAACTGTTGTCACCTTCTCACCAAGCTGCTTGGCAATGGTCTTGTAGCCCATTCCAGCCTTGTGTAGGTCTTCAATCTTGTCCCTGACATCCTTGGAGAGCTCTTTGGTCTTGGCCATGGTGGAGAGTTTGGAATCTGATTGATTGATTGCTTCTGTGGACAGGTGTCTTTTATACAGGTAACAAGCTGAGATTAGGAGCACTCCCTTTAAGAGTGTGCTCCTCATCTCAGCTCGTTACCTGTATAAAAGACACCTGGGAGCCAGAAATCTTTCTGATTGAGAGGGGGTCAAATACATATTTCCCTCATTAAAATGCAAATCAATTTATAACATTTTTGACATGCGTTTTTCTGGATTTTTTTGTTATTGTCTCTCATTGTTCAAATAAATATACCATTAAAATTATAGACTGATCATTTCTTTGTCAGTGGGCAAACGTACAAAATCAGCAGGGGATCAAATACTTTTTTCCCTCACTGTACGTATGTATGTTGAACTTCTTTCGCACCGTACTAATGGGAGGTGCGGGGGACGCACAGACAGTGATCAGACGTCGCTGACCGGGGATGAATGCCTCGAGCCGACTCGCTTTAGTGACACTTGGGAGGCTCGGCTTCTTCAAAGACGTGCGATGAATAATCTCAGCGCTGAAATTGACGTGCAATAATAAAAATAAGACTGTTCACGTTATTATTTTTGGCTTTTTTGCCGTAATAATGTGTTCCATGCGAAATGATGGAAAAACTCCACTCATCAGGTCGCTTTGCGCGCCAGCACAAAAGAGACAACTTCCATGAACGTTTTCCTGCGTGGGGTTTTTGTTGTTGTTGTTGTTGTTGCGGTGGCTCTGTGTGACTCTCTGATTAGTTTTTAGGTTGTTGTCATCTTCTTGTTTCGCGTGAACCCAGACGTTACCCCCGTGTGCTGGGAGCTTCAGGTCCAGAATAAGTTCCCGACGGAGCTGCCAGCACGTGCAGCGACAAACGTCGGGACATCTCGCCTAACAACGAACGGTACAACCCGAAAATGCATTGGAGAATTTTCTACTTTTTTTTAAATAAATCAACAACAAAACTAGGTAGTTAATTCTAGTATTTTTTTGCTGTATCCATAACTGTCAACCCCTCATCAGTGCCTACCTCATTGCAAACAATTCCAAGACCTTATTGGTCACCCCGTGCCCTTATAAATCTCAAAGTTCGTCCTACATCACAAGGGAGAAACACAAACAAATAGATAACGCATTTTGTTTGCACCGTATTGAAACGGCTGTACGCCGTATGGACCTGAAAACTCAATTTCCCTGGACAATAATACGGGCGAACAGCTATGCGTATCGCTGTATTCAAGAAAGCGAAGGTGCTCAGGTGATGTTTCAAGCTGTGGCAGCACCATTGCCCGTAGGTTGGCATCACATCTCACCAACGCCTCACTGCCATGGACCCTGCAGCTCGTATTGCGGACAACTCAGCGCAGACCACTGCGGCTCACTGCTGGGCTTACAGGAGCTGGGCAGCCTCATCCATCGGGGAATATTTCCTGTCGCCGTGCAGCGGTGATATAGTCAAGTCTACTTGGCCGAATGCAATTGTCTAATCAGCTGTGCTCATGGGTAAGGGGCCAGATGTGGGCCCCTTGAAAGCCAACAATGCTCTCCTCTCTGCCGTGGCAGCTGCCTTTCATCTGAGCGTCGGAGACAACTTTTAAGGGTGGGAGAAACGAACACGGACGGAGGGTTTGAGACAAACCAGGAACGACACCTGGGAGTCCTCGCGTTCCACTGCGGCCTCGTTTGAAGATTAGCATCGGCACCGCGCACAATGAGTCACCGCCCATGATTCGGAGGAGTTCGGCGATAAGCACGCGCGGTGAATGTGCTGGTTGTTTTTTTTTTGGTCACGTTCGAAGTAAAATTTACAACGGCACAAATTTGTTTTTATGGTTTGTTTTGTTGTGTGTGCCGATGAGCCTGCGAAAACAGTCCCCCCCCCACCGGGTAGAAAAAAATAAAAGAATTTAACAAAAAGAGAATATGTGCGTTGGGTGGGGAGCGGGGGTTAACACACGTTGTGTACGTCCAAACATTCAGCAGTAGCCATGATTCATCCACTGTTGAATGAAAACCTCCCCAAGTTGTCGATATCTCTCACAATCTTGCGATGTAACAATCCACCTAGCACCTGTACACGATAAGCATTTTTATTTTATGTTACTAGGTAAGGTCCACTGAGCTGTATAGCTCTTTTTTTTACAAGCGACCTGGCCATCACAAATGATAGCTCAAAGAAGTGGCTTATCATTATGTGGACATTTATAGCACCCAAATACTGCAAGCGCATGTTGATTCTAAATGTGGAGGGAAAACGCGGAGACAAATCCATGTGCCCACGGGGAGAGAGAATATACAGGCATCATGGTCGAGATCGAACCCATGATCTCCTGTATACCAGGCGAGGTAATTAACATATCACCACCATTTCTGTTCGCAACCATGATTCTAAACCATGTCATGGTTACATGTTACAGAATTACAATGGCCCAAAATACATGATCTCACACGCCCGTGACAGTAACAAGCAGTGGGCCGACGGTGGAATCCAACATCTCTGTAGCATCCTGGGGGTTGTTGGGTATGAAGGTGTAGGTGGGTGGGGGTATTCTGATAGCCCGCCCCCCCCCCCTTCTAAATGCATAAATTACAATTAAGCGTCATCCCAACTACTCCACAAACAACACAGGAGGTGAGAGATCGAGCAGAATGCAGGGCAGACGAAAGCAGATCTTACTATTAATATTTTAAGTGTTTAAAATGTGTCTAAAGTTTGTTTCACATTTGCTGTTTTCATGGATTCCTTGCCCGAGTTTTTGGATTCACAAGGTCATGCATGCAACACCGTAAGCGTGCAGCATTCAGTGGCTGAGATAAACCAGCTGGAGTCAAGCCAGATGTCACGAGACATTTACTCCTATTTAATTCCATTAAGCAGACATCTCGCTACGCTTTTGTGCATATTAGCTCGCATGAGTACATTGCTTATCGCCTGTGTAATGTTTTGATGTATGAGTTGTTGGAATGGTTATTTTAAGATTTTTCTGAAGTCTGGAATGGCCTGGCACGTAAGTCGTTGCAGGTTTGTAATGGGGCCCCACTTAAGCGCATCTTGGCTCGCACATTCACAACGAAGTGAAGATGGAATAAGAATTCCCTTACTAGTTAGTGTGAGAACACTCGCGTGGAGTTTTAAGTTCTTATTTCTGAGAGCCTAAGCTATTGGTTTTACCCCCTGTGTAAGTTCTAAATATATTTTAAAAATGGGCACAGGGAGGAGAGATGAACGCTGAGCGGCTGAGTTGGCCACGCGAAGAATGTGGGATTGAACCTGCCGCAGGTTACAATAAAACAAATTCCAGCCATTCACCATCCCCACTTGCCATGAATGCGAGCTGTAGCTAGGAATCGAACTCGGGTTGCTTGGCTGAGAGCGCAGCACGCCAGCCTCTAGACCACCTCGCTCCTCCTCGCCTCGGATTAATAATTACAGGAACGCTTTCCTTTAAGACGCATCTCATCGGCATTTACAATGGACTATAGGTTTCACTTTGTCAGGAGAAGGTATATTTTCATAGCAATGCACACACACTGTTAAAATGACGTCAATTGGTTTATTACGATGGGAAGGGGGTGTGAGAGTAGTGGGGGGGGGGGGGCACAGGTGAGGCGGTCTCTTCCAAGCCTCAGCTCTAAGAGGGCCTCAGGAAAGGCCAAGGGGGCCTCAGAGGCTGCCTCGGCTGGCATTTTGCCCCGGACCTTGATAATAAAAAAGCACCTTTTGGCAGCGCTGATTTTCCTAGCCAGGGGGTAATCTCTCTCGTTCAACCCCCTGAGTGTTCAGTCGGCCAAGTGTGGGGGCAACAGCCCCCTCCCCCCACCTAACTCCCCCCCCCCGACTCCCATCCAACTGTGGTGTTTTGTTTTAATCACAGCTACTGAGCAAAACAGGCCCGAAGGCCGGCTAACTAAACAGATTGATGTTTCAATAGACGATAGTTAAAACACCTCTCGGATTGTATATAAAAAAAGGATTACATTAGCAGGATTGGAAAAGAGGGTTGCATAAAAATATACTTTGGTACTGAGATGAGCCGAAAAAGTTCCTAATTTCGTAGCGCCTATGATTATTATTTTTTTGGCCCACGCTGCTTTCTGGGCCCGCATTAAATCTGTTTCTGCTTCTGTGACTGGACGGCGAGAGTGGCCGGAAGGCTGCGTCGGCGAGAATAGAATAATCGTAGCGCAAAGGAATTGAGGCCCAGCGAAGTGAACAAGAGGCTGATGCGATGGAAAAAAAAAACATTAATCGGGCTGGTTAGAGGTCCGACTGAGCTCATTTTGGCGAGACGTTTGGCGATACTGGGTTGCCAGTTGCGCAAAAGTGCAAATGACTAAAAAAAACCCCCGCAACATTCGACCATAACATTGTCTTAAAAGGAGACGCATTGAATAGGCAACGTTTCGAGCAATGATCCTCCATACGCAATTGACGGGTGTGTTGATTTTTTTGTTTGTTATTTGGCCATCTAGAGGTTGCGAGTTCAAATCCAGGTTGGTGGTTGGCGGTGTAATTGCGACTCCTGGGGGTGGTGGGGGCAAAGCAACGAACCCCACTTTGTGGTAAATGGGCAGTGGCTGTCGTGTGAACAGACCGCTCCCTCTCGGAAAAATGCGGAACTCCCATCACTGCTTCAGGGTTGTGCCTCCGATTAGCAACGGTGGTCTACGTACGGTGCAAAAAAAGTTCAACATACATACGTGCACAGGAAATGAACGTGGCTACATGCACACATATGTTCGTGGAAAAGCAAGTTCGCTTTGCAAGGTTTGATAACTTCGAAACAATGCAAGTGGTTTATGAACTGAGAAATATTGCAACCGGCACGCAGTAGTGGTTTATTTTCCCGTTAGAAAAAAAAACGGATCCTTTGGTAACGTTTTAACTTATTTTAATTTATCTTTTCACACTTGCCTACGCACTGCGTGGGATTATATCTGAAGCTGAACATGTCTGTTCATGATTCGTGTTAATATTACCGTATATAAGGGAGGAGAAGCAGAGTAATTCCCAGACACATCACTGGTAAAATATCTGAACCGGCCCTGGCCATTCCCGAGGTCGACTTTAACTTAATGAGAACTTGGCGCTGTCTGTACAACAACAGCACTGGGAGACAAAGGCAGCCGAGATGGGTACTAACAATACTTACTCCCACAGTCTGTGTCGGTTACACGGGCAGTCCATTGTGTTTCTTGTACACGCTGCACATAGACACGAGTTCAAAAGACCGGTGGCGTCTTTGATGTTTGTCTCGGGCGACCTGATTCTTACGGCACGACCGCACGTGCCATTCCCAGCTGCCACGTGGTGGCCTTTTGTTTTTGGCCGCTTGTTTTCACAGCGCCGTGGCAGATTGCGAAAGGCAACAACGGCTTCAGGGCCTCGCTCCCTACGAGAGCCCTTTCGGAAACACGAGCGGAGTATTGAATGGGTTTTTTGACGAATGCTCAGGCTTTGGAGGGAAGACAGATTTTTTTTCTCCCTTTGGTGCCTTCTGATCGGACCGTGACTGTTGACGGTCAACGTCGATTTGACGGCACAGCTGCGTTGGTGTCCGCGGGGTTGCTGCTGCTGCTGCGCAAGCCTCTGGACGCGTTCTCGCGTGTCGTTCGGTACGATGTGCGACGTTTCGCTCCAGCCAGCCATCCACTAGCCAGCCATCCTCTAGCCAGCCCCTTGACCATGATGCCACCGTGCGAAAAGGCAGCCGGATGGTCTTGGTGGCGATTTTTTTCTTGCAATGGGCTCAATGTGCGCCGGCATCTCTCGACATTGACAATGCTGCCCCCTAGTTCTCAAACAAATGAGCTGATGCGGATTTTTCGGTTTCAGTGAAAGAGAATGACAAAATGACGGAGGTATGTGAGATTGTACGGCGATGCGTCTGCCACATTTTAGGACGTGGTCTACTTTGTTTCAATCGACATGAAACGCTCCCTGTCAATGAACGGTTACCTTTTATCAAAACGCGTTCTCGAGTGACGTTCAGAAGAAATTGTCAGCTCTCCTCCAGGCAAAAATCCCCGAGCCACTATTCGTCTTCAACATCTGCGCTCCCCGTATTGGGCCCCTCGGCACATTTAAGAGACGGTGATCATTCAAAGAAAACCAACTGAAAAGAGGAGGCTGGGTGGCTCCGAAGCGAGAGCGCTGAACCTGGGTTCAAACCCAAGTCATAGCCGCCTGTGATTAAAGGAAATGAACAGGTGTAGTGAGCTGGTGGTTTGGTGCACTTGCTCTGAGCACTATATGTGATAGTGCTGGTTTCTATTTGCTCCTTTCTGCATATTTGTTTATTTAGCTTTTGTCGTTTTAGTGACAAAGGTCATTCCTGGTCTCTTGAGTTCTCACCTCCTGGTTTAAACAAACTAAAATTGTATCCTGGTGGTTTTAGTCTGGTCAACAATGACTTCACACACACACACGCATACGCACAATAACCGCATTAAATTCTGTACCGCACTTTTTTTTACTGAATTCCAGCTCTGAAATTCAAAGTCTTGGTTTGTACATCATGTGACAAACACTCACGTCACTTGCAGAGTGGATGGGAAAGTGCTGCCCTCTACTGTGTAGAACAGAGGTCACTTCAAGGGGGTCTCAGAGCTCAGATGCAGCCCTGTGATATCTGCTTCCGGCGGGGCCATTGCTTTACACGACGGGTTGCACTGCGAGAATTCTGAACGGATGCTTCGTCTCAATTGGTATGAAATGAGGTGTGGTGGGAGGAAACTATTACGGTTTGTTTTTGTTGCTCACTGGAAAGCTCGTGCCAGAACCCACAGCGAGCGGTTAAAGCATCGCAGTTGC